CAACAAACTTCTCTATTACAACTGTAAATGGTCAAACATCAACCCGTCAAGGAAGAGAGGTGAGGCTGATCGTTAAAGGAACCGACTCAGATGAAGTTATCGATCTTGATAAAGTATGGACTGTGGATATTTTGTCCATTTCGAATCACAACATTCCAACAACTGACGACATCGCATCATGGCCACACCTTAGCGGAATAGAACTGCCTCATCTCGACGATAAAGAAGTGACAATCCTAATCGGTAGTGACTACCCCGAAGCACACTGGGTTCTCGAGTATAGAAGAGGTACAAAAGGTCAACCCTATGCGGTTCGCACACCGCTAGGGTGGACTCTGATGGGTCCACTCGGTACAACTGACAATAACAAGGTGACTGTTAATTTCTTACGTAAAGATGATGAACTACTGCATCAACGAGTTGAACGAATGTTCAATGCTGATTTCAACGAACCTACGGCGGATTCGACTACAACCATGTCCCTTGACGACAAGAAAGCACTCGGTATGATGGAGTCATCTGTTAAGATAGTCAATGGACACTATCAACTTGGTATACCCTGGAAGGATCCAAATCTGAAATTACCAAACAACCGCGCGTACCCTGAAAGACGACTTCGTACACTGAAGAAACGCCTCATTGGCGACTCACGTCTCCTAGAAAAATACAAAGAAACTATGAACACTTACATACGGGACAACCACGCAAGAGTCCTAACAGAACAAGAGTTAACTAATAAGAACAACAGTCGCACATGGTATTTACCACATCATCCTGTCACACATCCCTTGAAGCCTAACAAGGTGAGAGTTGTGTTCGACGCTGCTTTAAACCACCAGACTTCGACAACGTTAAAGAAGTTCAACTGCACCATTTCAGCGACGCGTCCCAAGTTGGGTACGGCGCAGTGTCTTACCTACGCCTCGTCGACGTGAAGGGGAAGATTCATTTATCCTTCGCGATGGGAAAGTCACGTGTCGCACCAATGAAAACACTTTCTATTCCCAGACTCGAACTGTCTGCAGCTGTAGTCTCTATCAAGTTGAACAGTGTTATCAGTCAAGAACTAGAATATCACGTAGACAGTACAACATACTGGACGGATTCCACCTCGGTTCTGCAGTACCTGAGAAATCAATCAARACGTTTCCAAACGTTCGTTGCAAACARAGTTGCTAAGATCCAAGAAAGTTCTGACCCGTCTCAGTGGCGATACGTTAACACTAACCTCAACCCTGCTGATATTGCCTCCCGCGGTATCGCTGATTGTGACATTACTACCCTGCAGAACTGGCTAAGAGGTCCAGACTTCCTTTGGTCAGATGAGAGCACGTGGCCAGCATCACCATCTGTTATCACCGAACTGTCTCCAGAAGACCCAGAAGTAAGGAAAGACGTTCGCGTCAATGTAACAACTCAGCATGAAGACAAAGTCACATCGCTACTAAAGCAGTACTCGTCATGGTATCGACTACAGAAGGCAGTAGAGTGGATTCTCCGTTTCAAAGCATACATGTGTCACAAGTACCTGTCAAGGAAATTCACTACAAAGCCTACATCAGGTCCATTAACAGTCCAAGAGATAAAGCAAGCAACTACAGAAATAGTCATCCATGTCCAAAAGAAGACATTTGCTGATGAATATGCAGTCCTTAAGACAGAAACCAGTCAAAGAGCTGAAAGGTCGACCATGAAGCACCGGAACAAGTCATTAAGCACTACTAGTCCACTACGCAAGCTTAATCCGATGATACAAGAGAAAGTACTCAGAGTCGGAGGACGATTGGAAAGAGCACAACTACCGTTCGATAACAAGCATCCTATAATATTACCAAGCAATCATCACATAACCACACTTCTGATACGCAGTTATCACGACATTGCTGGACACTGTGGTCCTACTCAAGTACTCTCAGAGCTAAGATAGAAATATTGGATAGTGAAAGGT